AAACCCGCATACAAACACAGATAATATTCTTAACATCAAGTTTCATAATAGGTCAATTCAATCTAATTTTTAAACTAATGGAGCTAAACGTGATCTGCTGAGCGTAAATTTKGTATGTTATGCACTTGTAAGCCGGAGACAACAAATGGTTGTGTAGCGTCCTCTTATATAGTATTTGTATTTTACTGGTTTATTAGTTAAATATTTATATATTTTTTCAGCATAGCTATATTATTTAACGTTAATATTATAATCGTTTTAAGTTGATATTATAAAAAATATTTGTAACTAYGCCCGTTTTAATAATATACGGTTGTGATGATGTTATTGCATGTAGATGTGCGACTGCGGTGACTTCACTGATTATCGCCAAAAAGGAGCACCGGCGGCATCTGTGGACGAAATATAACGACGRCGACACGTGACCGACGGACAAGATGAGTTTGTTCAACACGTCGTACCTGATGGGCAACGACACGACGGGAGGTTGGGGTCCCAGGTACTTTTTCACGTTCTACTCGGAGTTCGGCGACGAGCAAGCCGAATCGGCCGTCGAGGTGACCGTGTTCATGGTGATATTCACCGCGTCCGTCATGGCCAATGTGTCCATCGCCTGGGCTGTGCTCAGATACCGGGAGATGCGCACCGTCACCAACTGCTTCCTGCTCAAYCTCACCGTGGCCGACTTGATGTTTGCTGTCACCACGCCGGCGCTCGCCTACGTCCGTGTCCGGCCCGACTGGCCGTTCGGAGATTTCGTATGCCGACTGTTGCCCTACTCGCAGGTGAGTGCCTATACAACGTATTAATATCATAATATAATCGACACAAACAGTGGTCAGAAGTCGGCCTTTCATCATGTAAACGAATTAAAAACTACCACGCACAATATAATTGTGATGTGGGGGCGCTTCGTAATACACTATTTATCTATTTTTTATTTTCGACAGAAAACTAAATAAGTAGGAACGTCTATATATATATATGTGTGTGTGTGCTATGATTAAAAAAAAAAACGAAAGAATATGAAGTCCACAAAACCGTAATTTATATACATATAATATATATTGTTTTTAGACACAAATTACGTGTGTCTCGTGTCAGTGATTTGTGCATAATGATTTATATTTAAAATTGATGTTATTTATTTTAGTTTAGAATGAAATAAATATTTTATTTTATTAAGTATAAACTTGAATGCTTCATGCATGTAAATTTTAGAAAAAATTGGGTTATACACAATGGGAAATCGTAATGTTARTCTATTCACTACTGAAATTTTCAAAAAAATACAATGCATTTCAATCAACTATCGCATATTATAATAATATCGATTGGTATGATTGATAAACTGTTAATGTGAGCGTGAATCATTCTATGATATTAAATAATATGAAAAACGCAAAATTTTAAATCATACAATTTAAGACACAAACTAAKTTGGTACTTACCTATGTCGGCATTAGTTGTATCTCATATTTTTTGTKACAGACTTAAAGGACATATTACGTGCAAGCGAGTATTATATTGAATTTCGTTTAGAGGTTTACATCAGCCGGGCTATCGCCTCTAGGGTTGCGTTGGTACAAAATTCTGTAATATGATTATTATTATTTATATTTTATATTTTCCTTTCGACCAAAGCTTAACGTCGTGCTTTAAAAATTGTACTTTCTCATGACAATCTCATAACAAGATCTATGTACATCCAAATCCTTATTTGTATATTGCTCCATCGCTCGAGTACCTATATAAGATAAACACGACCCACCAACCGCGTAATAATAGGTATATTTATTAGATAGGTAAGTTTAAACGTAGATATTAAGTGCATAATATTACGTTCATCTTTTTATTTTATAACAAAATGGGCCATGGCCCAAAGTACAGAATAATACTATTATATATATATAACAAATGTGAAATGCAGCCAACCTGACTTAAAAACTATAAGTCTACTTGAATTAAATTATTTTCAAAACAATTCGATCACAATATATTTTATGTATTAAGTACAATATTACTTGTATATTTTAATATAATATTCGATACACGTTAACTTTGAATTGTCTAATTTGTTATTTTTACATTTTGAAATCGATATTGGACAAAGAAACCTTGCKATAAAAGATTTATGGATTTTTATAATTCGGGTGCTAAGTATTCGGCACATATCCGTTATGCCCGTCACGTTTCTGAATATATACTTTATTATGAATAACTTATATTATATTCTTGCGTATAACTGGTATTATATTATACAAGGTACATATACTTTTTTGGTTGTGGATTGCAGGTTTAATCCTTCAATTTTTTTTTTTCAATAATTTGGTTCGTAAAAATATTGCTAGTTGTCCAGTTTAATGCTCGTTACACTGAGATGCCAACTACCATTAAAGGTATATGAATTAGTACTCTAGATACCATGTCTTAATTTTTTGGTTTCGGACAACTATAGGGCTTGGTACTAAAACTAMATTCGTCTAACGATTCTAACGCCTTTTACAAACGTGTATGCAGTGTGTTGKTATCATTGTACGTACACGGTAAAAACACAATATAGGTACGTTTTAGAATGACGTAACCGACACCTACATTTAAATATGTGACTTCTGAATACTGATAAACATAATATTTACGCCTAGGTTAAACAAACTACAGTTTCACTAATAGGCTACTATTTTCAAAATATTTTACATAATACATGGTCTATTATATCTATTCCTGCGTGTTCTGACCTAATGTTTACAGATATAATGAACGTATATTGAAMACACAATAAGTTAATTAGTTAGGTAGTAATAATAATATTAATACATCACTTGCATAAAATAGAAAAATTGGTAAGTAGAGAAAACTAGCTGACTGCCTAACAAAATATAATATATACATACCTAAGCAAAATCTTAACCATCATAGTACCTAATTTAGCTTATCAGATATAATTAATTTTAAATTTAATGACGAGAAACTCCCACACTTAAACCCTTTTCGGAAAATTAACTCTTCGACCATTACAAATCGATTTTCCTTATTTATCTGGAAAACACCACAGAATTAAATTTTAAATTTTAAAGAGTTGGGCTTATTTAAAAAACATAATATGTATAATTGTAAAGATATATATATGGCATATATACGTGTATTATACAATAATTATTACAAGATTATTGAAGACTGAATTTGAGAAAACTATAAAGGTACTAATTATTCAAACATCAAAGTCAATATTTCAAGGCTTAAAACAGATCAAAATTATATTTATTTTTTAAAAACCTTCAAGTTTCAACGGAGTAATTTCTCTTGTAATTCAATTTTTGTAAACACGGCTTGTTTATTATTCTAATTAAATCAGTCACGATGAATAAATAAATACTAAMTAGTATTATTCTAGATATTTTTGGTAACAAAGCTGATGTGGAATAAAGTACAGTAAGAAACCACGTTACCTACGTACATAGTTTTTAAGATCGGTTTTAATAAAATAAAAAATACGTTTCTAAGAAAATTTTACACAATAAAATGTAATATAATTAAACTTAACGCTAACCATTATATGATTTTATTGAAAAGAACTTTCATTACCTATACAGTACATATACATCGTAATGTTCTTTTTTATTTGAAATATCGTCGTTGTATGCAACGTCCTTTTTATTTATTTATTTATTCTACTATGTATATTTAAATATTAACAGTTGTTCATGCAAGTTACACGCCGATGGAAGAAACCCATTCAAAGCAATATCAAACAAATTATATTTGTTCAACAATAAAGTATAATGGTATTGGTCATTAATTGATTTTCGTTTTTCACCCATTCCCTTTGTACGGCTAAGTAATTGAAAAATAAAGTAATTTCAATATTGTTGTATCACGGWGTTTGAGTTAATGTAATCTGCACTGTTATTATTTCACACAACCATACAAACGTTTTGTTTCGTTTAAAATGACTATAATAATATAAGAATAAATGTTTTTAAATTTAAAATAAAAATTATGTACCTACTTTCACTGCAGCGGCTTGCAGGGCTAGGATTAAATACGTTCAACTGCCTARCTGGCTCGTAGAAAATAAAATAAAATTACGGATAGCGTGAAATGGCAACCTAGTTCTTGATGTGTGCTATACTTATTAGCATCGATATTTTACCCTAATACCTACGCAATGTTAATAAAAAAAAATTAGCACATAATTTAAGTATTACATAACTAATAAAATCACCAAAAGGCAAAAATAGTGTAATACCTTTAGACAATTAAAATCTGTTTTACAATTGAACAAAAAAATTCTACGAATAGATTTGGCAAAATTGGATTTAATATAATAATGGTTTTTCATTTTTTTTATCAGTGATACTCAGACTTTGTGACGTCAGAAATAATCGTAACGCATTATTGCAACAAAAATAACTTTAAATACGATTAAAATTAATGTTGTTTAAATTGTTTGACGTTTAAATTACACTACAGTGCTTATTATAGTTTCAATAAACACTTAAAAATTTTAAACACGTACCTACACAAAAATTATATTATGTAAGTACTGCACCGTCAGGCATTAAATTGATATTAATATACTTATGCCTAGTTATGAATTACTACTGGTCAAAATGTTTCRTCGTTGACCGTCGTTACATTATAATTAGGCGCGTATTTAATACTAATTACATTTTTTCTAAAAAGACATCGCTTTCCAAGTACACAATTCATTTCATAGGTACTTCAAAGAACCTCAAAATTAAACTTGCATTTTACTTTTATAATTTATATATATTATATTTATCATACGAAATTGTCGCTAATAGGTGGCTGCTTTCCTCAGAAGTATCATGTGCTATGTATATTAAAAAAAATCTGCAACACATTTTTCACACAATTAGGAATAAAATTCGTACAGGGTACCAAGTTCAGGTTTAATAATCTTTTAGTTTAATTAGTAAAAACTTTTGAATATGATTAATATTTTTAATACTTAGTTTTTGGTATTAATATGTGTAATACTTTTAAAATTATTATTTTTTTAGGTATTTAAATTGTTAGCGTTTAAAATTTTTTTTATTACCTCATATMTTTTTAATATTTCCCATATTTAAATTTATTTATTGAATATGAAAATAATAACATTTAACAACAATAAAATATAAACAAATAATAAAAAGTAAAGTAAAAAATATTATTATTGTTGTTAAAAAAATATATGAAACATCTTTAAATTTATTATTTTATTTAGTGTAAAAGGTAAATAATAYATATTTTAACATAAATATATTTATTATTGAAACATTAAAAATTAAAATATAAATAAAATAACTAGGTCTAGTCTAAGTCAAAAATAACTTATCGATTCAACTCTTAAGTATTGCAATTATTATAAAACTATTATATATTATTTTCATTGTAATATTATATTATACATTACTTTAATAACCGAGCTTTAAAGTTTATGTATAATATATAGGTGAAATACAAGTTTAACTCAGTGTCCTATTTGCCATTTTACTCTGCGCATCTAAACTTTGAATAATTATATTGAAAAAATAGTAATGTTCAGTATTCAATATTTATTCATCTACACTTTTAGAAAAATATTCTGTTTTTAATATTAAGAACCTAACTTGTTAATTAATAAAAATCTGAAATAAAATTCAAAAATAACTGCTGATAAAAATAGTGTGTTTTCATCAATGTACCTTAGTATTTTAAATACTTCAAACTATACAAAAACATAATAAAACCTAACCTAACCAGTTCAGAAAATGAGTAAAGCTATGTAAATTTCAAA